ATCGATATTGAAGATATACCGGTATGTATCAATAAATCAAAATTTCCGATACCATACAACCCTGGGAGTCAACTTATTCAGAACAATTAAATCCATTTCACTCACACATTGTACTTCAAATTCATTACTTCAAATAATGCCGTGTCTTTCTCTAGCATTGATGGTACTCACCATGTAACGATGTATTGCAAGTGTTCGTTTCGCAGGGTGACCTTTGTTTGACCTCCAACTGGACCTCCAGGTATGTCACATGCTGGAACGATAAAACCAACAAATCCACAGGAAAATTAGATAAGAGATTCCAGTAGAAATGAACAAAAGATACGGAAATGTTTCCATTGTGAATTATCGTACAGCTTATCAAACAAGAAAGATAATGTTGGTCCTCACTTTTCACACTTTTGTTCATTTGCAAACCAACTATGCCCCAACTTGGTCGTCAGACCAAGCTTATGTTGGGACTGTCCCAACTTGAGCCAAACTAGATCACTGAAGTTGCAATGGGCAGGCCTAACTTGGGTTGGGCACTGCTACTCATATATGGATGTTAGAGGGCGCGCATTTACCAACGAGCGTACGTGATGAGCACATCCACGGCCATGTGCTGCAAAGTGTCATCAGACAAACCGAGTCATTTTCTACAAGGCTACCCTGGAAGTTGCTACAAAAAGACGACATGTTTGATCTGCCTCTGATGAGCTCCCAGGCCCGGCCTGAGCAAGTGCCCTTGGTCCTCCCGTCTGAATGGTATAGGACCAAGCACCCTAGCCCTGTCCCACCAAACTTTACTTTTATCATGATCGTTTAGATGGGAATAAGGTTCCTGCCCAAGTTGGGCCCCTCCCAACTGATCACCCATGTTGATGAGACAGTCCCAGCATGTGTTTGGACCGATAACCAAGTTGGAATGTTTAACACGTATCAGTTGGCTAAGCAAACTGATGTGGCTATTGTAAATGCTATTGAAGATCAAAACGCCCTTTACTTTCATAACCTTCATTTGTTCCTAACAATTTACACAATTTATTTTGATCATGTAATTTTTTTTCAAAGTTCTCCCAGCAATTCAAAAGTCATGCATGGATAATGCGATTATCAAGTGACAGTTGTTGAGATTTGTTCATGTCTTCTCAAAGTAAAACATTCTGGATGTGCTTCTATGCAAACATACATTGTGCCAAGTTGTCCTTTCAGTCAAAATCAATCAAGTGACTGTTTTCAACAGTTAAGAGGTCCCAGCCTACATAAAGCAGGATTGACTCGCTGGGACTGTTTACGTAACTTGATACAGCTATGCCTTGACTGTAGGTGATTGATAAGCCAGCTGTGCCTACTTCCTGCCTGTTTATGCTGTTGACTGGATTTGACAAGTCAGAGTGCTTGCTTGAAATATGATCTGAATATTATTGACTAGCAACGCATGTAAAACGCATGGCATACATGTAGGAAGATAAAACAGTATGTCTGGATGTGCTCTGGATGTAGGAAGATAAAACAGTATGTCTGGATGTGCTCTTTATACCCGAAACTGTTCCAAGAGGGTTTTCACATACACCATTTATAGAACAATGGAACTCATCAGTGGTGCATGCATGATCACAGGAATGCATCCAAGATGACAATTTTGAAGCTAACTGCTCCTAGTTCATGATAAACCAAAAGTCATCAGGCCAAACAAAAAATAAGTCGGTCTCTGATCAGCGCGCGCGTCGATTTTAATCATGCGAGTCGATCTTTTTTTTTCCCAAAATGTTCCGCGGTAGCTCCAACAGCGCCCTCTATTTCCGCACCTCCTCAAGTTTTTTTTACCAAAGAGCACCAAGGAATGGGAAATTGCACCAAGGCAAATGATCGAAAGCACCAAGGCAAATTATGGAGGACACCAATGTACATGAGGACACCAAAAAAGCAAAATAGTACCCCACCTTGTCTGTACAATCCAAGCTTGAAGAAAAAAAAAAAAGCCGCGTGGCCGCGTCAATTCCGGAACTTTGGTCTGACCAGAGACCGAATATTTTTTTTTTTGGCCTAAAATACCTGAGACAGTTCACTCTTTCCTAGGCTACAGGCCTTCTTTACAAGAAGACCACTTTGATCGTTCCCTGAATGTTTTAATCAATTGTACACTGTGGAATGGGATGGTGACAGACTATCACTTTCAATTGTTTTTTTTTTTAAATGTGGCTTTTAACATTAGGACCTGTTTAATCACAAATTTTAAATTATTCATCAGAGCAGACTAATAATATGTGATTTACTTTAAGTCATTGCTTTCATTTCTGTTCGCAAGTTTGAAAAAATGAGGGTTTGACCTCACTTTCAATTTAATATGGCCGACTCATGAATAAAGCCTATTGGTCGAGAAATGTCATGTGGGTGGTTTAAGCTACTGAAAACACATCAGTTAACACAATTCCTGTGTTCTGCACCACATCACCTAGTACGCGCAGCGTGCGCGCCAATTTCCACTGCGTGGACGAGGCAAGTACACAGACATGGCCAGGGGGTGTTTATCTAAACACGAAGTAATTTGCTGAACAAAATAGTTGGACATTCGTGAATTTTTGACTTCTTATGACTTTTTGACCAAAAGTTATTTATGAATGGGAATAAATAATGTGCTTGGCAGGTATGAAACAAGTATGTTAAAATCCGGCTACAGGCCTGGTGGAGAATAATGGCCTGAGTCGATTGGCAACCAGGTCCCTAGCTGGTTTTAAACACACCGGTACTCATTTAAAACCGGCTAAGCACATATCTATTCCCTTAGTAATGGTTATTAAGTTCAATCTTTGTTCATATTTTCCCTTTGTTTGTGGGTGACTTTTTTTTGGGGGGGGGGCACCCTCAAAATAAATATTGGAGAGATACCTCCAATGAAGGTACTTTTTTTTCCAACCATTTCGGTCCAACATGTAAAAGTCAAAAAGAAAGTGCAGAAACAAAACAAGATTGTTGAAGGCAACGAACTGTGACCCATCTTCATTGAAGTAGGGCTGTGAATTTACAGATAATAGGGTTTCAGATAAACACATGGCCTGGATTGTGTTTGATTATCTGTCAAAGAGGACAGGGATGATGGTGGGTTTGAACCATTCAATTCTGAGCAAACAACACTATACACTCTTCCTCGCATACTCATCTTAAGGTCAAATGCAATACAACAGAATGTGACTGACACAAAATGATCACACCAGAAACAATTGTGAGATACTAACATCATGTATTTTAATATGTAACCAGAATGCAATCCTTTCCACTACTCCATCAGGCTATTACTGGGCAAGTCCAAGAATTCACACACGTTACATCCCAGGAAAGTTTAACCCTCTAAAAAGCAATTAGATCAGTGTGTTTTTGTATTCTACTGTTGGGCATCTGAAAGGAGAATACTGTACCCACAAATTTTTTTGTAAGTATTTGTCATAAAGAAGACAATTAAGGTATGTTATGTATGGGACTACAAGGAGACCTTTTCTTGGACTTGCCCGACTTGCAAAAAAGGAGAATTTTCTAGTAATGTTTAAGAGAGGGTCTATTCATGATTACAGATATAAATGTTAAAAAAGTCTTTTATTTAAAAACTTCATTAATAAAGAGAAACTTTCAGCGTTTTCAACCACTACAAAATACAGACAGTGAATTTGACATCAAACTCCATTTACATCCAAATGCCAGAATATTGTGTTTTTTCTAAATAACGAAAACAATGTAAATGAACAAAATTATAACGCACCAATCAGTTGCCCTTCGTGGTTTATTTGAAGAAGAAAAAAAGGATATCCTTATTTTCATATTTCATTTAGTAGTTTTAATTTCTAATGAATATAATCTCGAAAACAACCCTCGCACCCCTTCAATGCTGGGTCAAATCAGTTATTCCTTCATCTTTTAGCAGTTTTTAAATCTGATCTTCCCACCAACCTTTGTACCAAAGTTTGTAGCAAATATAAACAAAATATAACAAATTTTCTTTAAACAAAACCACCTATGTACAAAATCCCAAAACTACTTTGAGTAATACTTAATATTTCAACCATTTGACTTAAGTACAATTAAATAAGCCACTTGGCAAACGAGTCTCCAAAAATATAATTTTATTTACAAAATGCACATGTATTTACCATCTTAGACTGGAATAATCACAAAACTTCTCACTGTTTTAACATGATACATATATTCAACTGTTGTCAGGCCAACAAGTCTCAACTTGGAAATGGACCGACCAAACCACCCATACAGCCTCAGAAATCAACAAATACCATATATCCACTGGGTTTTCAAATTAGTGATGTTTTCGTGCACACACGTAAAGATCTGAAGTCTACAGTAATTCTGTTTGCCACTTTATAAAGAGTTTCCAGATGTGGAATCTACACTTACATGTATTCACAAACATGGAGATTGTGGTAAATCAGGGATCTTATTTGCATAAACTAATGTTTTAAGAAATTAAATTTGGAGAACAGACTTGGAACTGTAGATTTGTGCCAGATTCGCCCCGTCCATTCTTAGCATGAATCTACAGTTCCTTGTCCATTCTCATTGACCCAATCAGCGAATCATAGACACTCTAAAAAGTCCCGGGTCAGATTCGACCAAAATCCAGATCAGATTTGACCTGACAATTTTCCGGGTCAAAATAACACTTCTCTGAGTCACCTTTCTAGCCATTTGACCAAGAAAATTATCATTTTGACCCAGAAGAGTGTCAGGTCCAATCTGACCCGGTTGCAGAGCTATATCTAACCGGACTTTAAGAGTGTCAGTTTGACTTTGATGACAAACTACGGTGACATATGTAGAGGGTGAACAGCTAATTGTCTTATAGTGTGACCCTACTGACCATCTGAATCCAGAATGTGTTATGATGTTTATCTTTACAGATAATATGCAACATTTTTTTTGGCTGTAATTTTTAGAAATGGATAGATTCGGGGGGTTAGTATTTTATGGCAAGAATTGTTACACTGACTTGTTTGAAGTTTCTGTGTTCTTAGATGCAGGGAAAAAAACCCCAAAACCAACCATGTTCTTGTAGTCTGGATGTTCATAGGTGTGTAATGGATTGCAATTATTCAGACTAACTAAACATAATAAATTGGGGGAAGTTTAAAAAAAAAAAAAACACTTTTTTCCCAACGCTGATACAAAAATACCACTTTTCTTAAAAATGTCAGCACACGAGGTGCCATGATTTTACAGGATGCTTAAGACTGTCATTCATTGACAGTCCAGTAAGGTTTTTCATAACAATTTGGAAGTTTTTTTTTTAAGTTTGCAAATGTTGTATATTCCCTTTAAATTTCAAACAGGCATCCTAGAATGACACATATTTTAATTATCTGTGTTTTTGTGGGTTTTTTTGTTAGGTTTCTTGGGGGTGTTTGTTTGTTTGTTTGTTTGTTGGTGGTTTTTTTTCATTGCACAATTCCTGAACTTCACATTCTTCGTTATTGTTTTACGTAGATAGTGAACAGCTAATTGTCTTACATGCTGTGCGACCCTACTGACCTACATCAAGAATGTCTTACAATGTTTGCCTTTGAGAATGGTCCTGCTTAGGATTGAAACATTAGGCTCTCTAAGTTTGTTGATTTTCTTGTAAATTTCATTTCCTTTTATGGAGAATGTTATCATTTTGATATTGTTATGCATAGTACATGTAATTCTAGAGCGAGCTTGGCGAGGGAGAATTAAAATATAACCCTAAGTGATGGGAAGAGGGAGTGTAACTTATGCCGTCCACGCAATGCCCAGTTGTCACCAAGTTTCAACACAGTCAGTCTGGGCATGTCACCTACAGCCGAGGCAATGTGTGGAATGTCTGACCGTGTCAAACCGCAATTGTTCAGGTCCAGCTTATTTAAGTGCATCATTTTGGGTAATTCCTTGGCCCACAAGTCAGCACATTCACCCAATGACCAGTTGCCACCAAGATGCAAGTCAGTCAGTCTGGGCATGTTACCTACAGCCGAGGCAATGTGTGGAATGTCTGACCGTGTCAAACCGCAATAGTTCAGGTCCAGCTTATTTAAGTGCATCATATTGGGCAATTCCTTGGCCCACACTGCAGCACATCCACCCAATGACTTGTTGAGACCAAGATGCAAGTCAGTCAGTCTGGGCATGTTACCTACAGCCGAGGCAATGTGTGGAATGTCTGACTGTGTCAAACCGCAATAGTTCAGGTTCAGCTTACTTAAGTGCATCATATTGGGTAATTCCTTGGCCCATGACACAGCACATTCACCCAATGGATCGTTGCCACCAAGATCCAAGTCAGTCAGTCTGGGCATGTTACCTACAGCCGAGGCAATGTGTGGAATGTCTGACTGTGTCAAATCACAATTGCCCAGATCCAGCTTATTTAAGTGCATCATTTTTGGCAATTCCTTGGCCCACAACACAGCAAATTCACCCAATGAATTGTTGCTATGAAGATACAAGTCAGTCAGTTTGGGCATGTTACCTTCAGCCGAGGCAATGTGTTCAATGTCTGTGCTCTGAAGTTTGCACTCCCTTACTTCAAGTTTCTCGAGGCTTGTCAAGTGTTTGATATGGGCCCATTCTACAGCTCTACCTCCCAATGTATTGCAATCATATATTTTAAGACTGGTCAAGAGATTGTTGCATTTCAGTGATGCCAGGATTTTCTCAAGCTCACCCTTCCCTAAAGTACAGCAGGAGAGCATCAGATTCCTGAGGTTTTCCATGTAACCCAGGGCAAAGGCTAAACCACTGACCGAAGACACAGAATAAATCCAAATGGTTTCAATGCATGAGAGTTGTGGTGCCTGGATGTCTGACCTACAGATCATTTTAAGAAGGCATATGAGAATACGGAATTCATTATTGTTACCCACCTTGATATCTGATGGGATGAGTGAGTTGCTGGTTAGACATTGTGGGATCTCTTTGGATTGGCTTTCAAAAAAACAGTGTTGACTAATTAATTGTATAACATGTGATTGATACATGGGCTTATGTCGATCCTTGTTGAATTTACAGTCAAGCAATCTAACAATGTCAGTCATGCACTTTTCATTGTCACCACAACAAAAACGCAAAAGAAAATCATTTGAAACGACACCCTCAATTGTCTGACATAGTTGCCTTAAATTGTTTTGAAATTTTCCGAATGGAAAAACTTTGTACAAAAATCCCTGGTTTGACATATGTACACTTTGCAAGTATTTACCAGCACAGTATTCCTGAATAGTCTTGTGCATGAATTGTATGTTGTTGTGACATTTGAGGTTTTTGATAACTCTCTGCTGGGTTAGGATGCCTGCTTTCAGTGCCAGGTCCAGCGCATTTTGTTCAAACTCATCTTTTTGAAATGAGAAGTTCTGGTCAGCACTTACGAATCCCCTCAGTGCAGTTTTTCCTATGGCAATCACTGTTTTTGATGCATCTTCGGAGCTACATGTATATCCTTTTCTTGTGAACATGTAATCAACTGCCTCAGTGAAGAGGCGTGAAGTTGTTTCGGGGAGTTGTTTTTTCTCCCTCCACAACAAACACATGAGAAGGAGAAGCATTGGATTCTTGGAGAAATCGAGCAGCGTGTTGGATTTTTCAATGTTTTGGATCAGTGCACTGCCACTAATAGGATCTTTGTAATAGAATTTCAGAATGTATTCATTAACATCCTCTTTGGTAAACCCCAGAACCTCTACGTGTGTGCAAGGATTTTGGACAAGTGATTTTGACATCAATTTCTCAAGATGAGAGGGGCGAGTTGACACCAGGACGAAACAATCCCTGTATTCTGTTCTACTAAGCGCTTTTAGGGTAGACCCGAATGAGGCTGCATCAAGCGTTTTGGTCCTCATTTCATCAAAACCATCCAAAAGTATCAAGACCTTATTTGAGTTGTCCTGAATGAATTTATCAAGTTCAACTTTGGCTACTCCTGACTTTACGCCTAAAAGTTGATCAAAAATGGAATCAACAAGATCAGATTCTTGAAACAGGGCATACATTTTTAAAAGAAAGACAAGCTTGAATCTTTTCAGGATTTCACATGCCTCATCAGCCCAGTCATATGCAATCTTGTCAAAAATGGTTGACTTCCCCACACCACCAATGCCAAATAAAATAGCACGATTGAACTCAGTTTCAGGCCAATCTTTAAATATTTTGTCATACTCTGTGGAATATACAGTTTCCTCAGAGTATTCTTCTTCTACAGTACCTTTCTTTGTTCTAACCCGCAATTTAGTGTAAATGCCAACAATGGGTCTTTGATCATCGGGAACCCCAGGGTTCAACTGAACATAGCTACCCGTTGTCTTGTAACATTTCCTTAAAAGGTCCCTGGCCTTGTTACCGACTTCTTGGTTGAGATCCCCCACTCTCGATACTTGGTCTGGTTTCTGACTCTGTGGATTTACTCCTGTTGAGGTCAAACAAGCAACAAGTACATGTTATAGTAAGCAGGAGGTCATGGGTTCGAGTCCCACCAAAGTGATTTTTTCTCATGAACACTCGAGACAACACTAAGTATAGTGGAATCCAGTGATCAGAATCAGAAGCTTTTACTGCGGTGGTGTCACGCTCATGCGCATGCTGCTCGCGTTCTTAAAGACGAGGCGCACGCATTTTGGTATTCCAATTGGTGGAAGGAGCCCGAAGTGTGGGTATACATACCTGAGCGCAACTCACGCAAGCCTTTTTCGACACTGCAGTAAATGGCTGCCGCCAGATTTGTCTTTACAGTGTTTATACAATACATGTATGTCGGTGGAGGGCAAAACCCAATATTGAATGTACATGTATTATTTCAGTTTAACATTTTTCTGAAACGATTGAATAGTCTTCCTCTACTGAGGCAAACATGTAAAAGAAATGGTGACTTGGGATTTACAGTTTGTTAATAAGGCAGTGTACAAAATAAATTTGCCCCCCTCCCCCCCAAAATAATCAAATGAATATTTTGGCTTTTGTACCATCTGTTGGACACAATCTTGTCAGATGTCGTTTAATAGTATTTACACATTGTTTTTTTTTACACTGACAACAATAAATTCAGACCAAAAAAAATGCATTTGGAGGCCACCAAAACTTGATTCCATTTTTCCCCGGTTTCTTTTTTTTCCCACATGTGATTCACACAATACGGAGTGCCATTTGGTGTGGGTATACATTACAAGACTCCTAATGTGGTCAACATGTGGTTTATATCGTAGCAACAAAAAATGTAGACTCTTTCGTGGAATTGGCAATCCGTCTTTTGTGTCCATGTTTCTGTAGTATATCATCTCCATCCCCCTCTCCTACAATATATACAATAATATCTGACCCAAGATATCAAGTAGTGTAACAAACAAGATCATATTTACCTGCTCCATCTGACGACAAGTTGTAAGTGACACTAACTTCACCTGAACCAGTGGCAGTAATGATAGGATTGTTTCTACCGCTGACTGTGCCCATGTTTCCGGTGGCTCCAGTTTGTTGTGGGGAATCTAAAATCAGAAGAATTCAAACATCCTTTAAAGGATACCGACAAAATGATTCATGTACTCTAGTACATCTCCAGTTGTCCGTTTTTGGAAGGTAGAGTAGATCATTTGTCATATTTGCATTTGTTTCTTTTGAAGTAAAAAAAATCCTCAAAATCTAAAGATGGGTGCTCAACAACTAACCTGCTAAACTTTCAGCTCAGTGAATGCTGTAATATTCCGAGAAAATCTCGATTCAGGATCTCGATTTCAAATCAAATTTGCAGAGCCTTGTTTTGAATTGATTGCAGCCGATTGCAACGACACTATGTCACGCACTGACCAAACAAATAATAGCAACCACGCACGCATGTGCATCGTGTCAATGCTCACCCGCACCCATTCAAAGATTCACCCAATTACAAACCAACTACTAATGGAAATTTCCAAAAATTGTTCAATTCCCAATCTTTGGTAATGACTTCTTTTAATGTCTTCTTTGTCCAATTACTATCTTCAAAACAAAGTAAGCTTTCAAAAATAATTTGGTCAGTTACTTTTTGGATAGCTGCAAATGATCTACTCTACCTTTAAAGAAGATACATGTATATAGAGAAATCTGACTGTCCAAAGTTGAAACCTGCAACTTCAAAAAAAATCTTGGGGTGTGTGTGAATGTGTGAGTTGAGTGGAGAGGGGGAGTTAATACTCCTCCCTCCCTCATTGTCCCCATGCAAATGGTCTAGCTTCTAAATGTACTCACCTATTGCAGCTGAGGGGGTGGGTACCTGTGCCTCCTGTTGCATCGTGGTAGGGACATCAGTCTGGCAGGCTGCTTCAGATTGAGCAGCCATGGTACTTTGGATCACCCAGCCACAAATGGAAGTCCTGTTTGCCAATGATAAATGAAAAGCTGTAACACACTGGTCTTCATTCCAGCTTCAATCTCATTCTTAAGCATGAAAACTTGTAACTACAATGCCATTTATGTTTGGAATAAAGACTAGAGGGAAATTCCACGCGGAAGTGATCTTTAGAGCTACATGAATCACAAGCTCAAATGTGGTATGAAATTAAAGGAAACAACAAGACCTTTTATTTTAATGGTGTGCCAGTGAGTTGGAATTGGACAGTTGGAAACTGCACCAGAATAATTCACAGTTGACTATCAGTCAGTGAGATCAGTAAACTGCAACTGAAAAACTTCTTAACCCTAACAATCCCCGTCCAGTCAAATTCCTACAGCAGGATTTGTTGGAGTCTGTTGGAGTGAGTACTGCACTAGTAAATGCTTTACATGGGGTGTATAGTCATACCACCATAATCAGAGTCCGACAGTTTGGGTCCAGAGTTTGCCATATAGTGTTAGAATTTGCAAGAGTGAGGAAGGTTCCTAGTAAATCACTCAAGGGGTTTAGGGTTACACCTGACATTTAATACAATCCATGAAACCAAAATAAGAACCCCAAAGCAAAAAGAAATGAACCATTGTTCTGGCAAAACTTACAGTTGAGTTCGTAGCAGGTTGATTCAGAGACGTCCAAGCATTACAGCCCTGTACATGAAGCTGCCGCACCCAACAATCCCATGACCACCTGACGGAACTATATTATGCAAATTAATCCCTCAATAAACCTCCATATATGGCATTGACTCAAACTTTACAAAAGTTACAAGGTCATGATTCACAAGTGCTTTGAAATTCTGTCACATGCAAGCAGTTTGCATCCAATATGAAACAAGACATTGCACTATCCATATTTGTCCTAATATTAGTCTGGAGAATATCTTAATAAAAAATAAAGGCTATTTTTTTATCCTGGAAACCCTGCGCATCGATACAAATACATAACCCACATTTGTCCCAGCAGGCCTCCAAAAATTGTGTAGCCTACATTGGGTTTTCCCAATATTGTCAACAGCTAGCCTGGAGACAACAATGGAAAGTTTTGTGTGGTCTGCTGTCATGCAAAGATCTACAAAGTTGACGAGTCAATGGGTGACCTTTCTTTTCAAATGACGTGATTTCATGAGTTCACAAGTGCTATTTTTAGCTCAGCATCTATTCAATGCAACTAATTCACTTTTGAGGCTTTAGTCAACACGTAGGTGTATATTGACCTCAACAGCTTGGTATACAGCAAAAGCATATCTAGTGACATATTTGTAATACCCGCATTATGAGGAACTACACTCAACCAAAAAAGAAAGACCTCCCTAATATTTTGTTGTCTAACTCAAAAACTACTGCGCACATCTTGCTCAAATTACAACTAATCAGTACAGAAATTCCTTAGCAATCCAGCCATACTCTTCGTTTGGCCCAAAACAGTGATAATGTGTACAAAATTATGCAATTTATGACAAATGCTACCAAACAAACATTGCACTTTTGTATAGGTGCAAGGTGAGTGTGAACCACAACTTGCATGTATACAAAAGTACAACTGTTTTCGGTATCATTTGTCATAAATTGCATCATGTCGTACACATTATCACTGTTTTGAGCCTAAAAAAGAGTATGGCTGGATTGCTAAAGAATTTCTTTACTGATTGGTTGTTATTTGAGTGAGAGGTCAGTAGTTTTTGAGTTAGACCAAAAAGTATTGGAAGGGGGGGGACTTTCTTTTTTGGTTGAGTGTATGATACAATGCAATTTGAAAGTGCTTGAATAAGTATTTGCAAGTAGGCCTACATCCTAAAGCTGGCACTAATGTATTGCCCGATTCTATAGAAGCATCAGGCCTTTTCAATAGCCAATCCGACAGTCCAATTAAATTGTTACAAATATATTGAAAAAAAAACTTAGCTAAAGTTCATCTTCAACCTGTCACTTCCTGCACAAAACCCTGATGCTTTCACCAAGAAATCCAGCCGCAAATTAAAGACGGACAACAGTTTTAAAACTTAGATTTCAATTTCTCAAGTTGGAGAATCCAGCGGTTGAATAGCAGGAGGTCGTGGGTTCGAGTCCCATAAGCTTGCTTGCCAAGGGTTTTTGGATAGAATTCTTTATGTCACCAGCAGTTTTTTTCTTTCTTTAATAGGTAATTTCTTTACGTCGTCTCGATTCTTCATAAGAATAACTACGCAAATCGTAAACAAACAAGAAATTAAGGGGAGCCGATGGTGTAGGATCATCATTTCTTAACCCTAAAAGGGCCTGGTTATTTTGACCATCTCTCAGCCAGGGGGGCGGATTCCGCCCCCCCCCCTAAGATCTCGGCCATCGAGTGAAATTTTTTTTTGAAACTCGGTACATGTATGGAGCAACTCTTCATGGTTTTGGAATTATCGCTAATTAATTATTCACATGTATGAATAGTAATTCTGGTCTGTGTACACGGCGTATATGGGAAAATTCAGTTTCACGGCACATAGCGCCGGGAAATTTTTTGCTGCGCGACAACCCCTGGTCCGATTTTTATATTTTTGGTGTCAAAAGATGCGTAATGCTCGACGCTAAAAAGTCATAACAGCTTGGGTCGCGAAAAAAAAATTTTTAAAGGCTATCACGGAAAAAGTCGAGGGGGGGGGGCCTTTTAGGGTTAAAGCGATTTGGCATTCTGGAGTCTGGACAACGGGCCTCCAAGATGAAGGACAACGGGCCTTTCATGAATTGTGTCTTTTGGTTTTCTGCTCAGTGCCAGGTTTCACGAAATTAGGAAGGCTCCTTACGAATAATATACAAATATTGACTGCCTGGAGTTGTGTAGTAAAACTAGCCTCCCGAGGTGATCCATGAAGCATTCTATTTTTCCCGAGGCTCCATGGATCACCAAGGGAGGACAGTTTTACTTCACCACGAGATAAAGCAGTCATTTTTTGTTTTATAACACCTCTCCCACAGATTATGCTTGATTTTACATGTAGGTGATAACTGATTCATTTAATCTGAATATAATAAAACTTAACTTTTATTTGAATACAAAATCAGTTGAAAATTAACTTGCACTTTTTGTAACTACCTTCGCAAAATGTTTGAACCCCATCTGTAGTGCATGCTTGGAAACAATATGCGCAACGGGCAATGCGCAACGGGCAATGCGCAACGGGCAATGCGCAACGGGCAATGCGCAACGGGCAATGCGCAACGGGCAATGCGCAACGGGCAATGCGCAACGGGCAATGCGCAACGGGCAATGCGCAACGGGCAACACAAACACCCCTATGGGCAATTCCACGGTTACTCACGTAACATTTTCGTAACGTGAGTAACTGATTTTGTGTGTCTTGTTTATCATACATAACACACTTTTCTGGATGTCATCTTTGGTGCTTGGGTAGGTCTAGGTCTACTCTATCTACCATGGTAATAACTAATAACAGTTATTAAACCTTTTCAGTAAGGTAATTACAGTCCAAGGAAACTCAAAAGTACATCAAAAATGTAACGTGAGTAACCCTGAAATTGCTCCTAAGATATTAGGGTTCAATGACTGCAAACAGGTAGTTGTTCACTATAGCAAGCCTAAAATGTCATCTGGGTGATTTTTGTCTAGACCAGGAAAGATTAAAGATTGAAGTTTAATATTGACTGCAAACAGGTAGTTGTTCACTATAGCAAGCCTAAAATGTCATCTGGGTGATTTTTGTCTACCAGCAAAGATTAAAGATTGAAGTTTAAAGGGAATATACATCATTTGCTTTTGCTGTAATTTTCAGAAATGGATGGAATTGGGGGGTTAGAAATATATAGCAAATATAGTTACACTGACTTTTTGGAGGTTTTGGGTTCGAAAATGCTATAAAAACCAAGAAAAACGATCATTTTCCTGTAGTCTGGTTCCCTGACTCTATATAAGAAGAAACAGAGCAGTTTACATACATTGGGGAATTGTAAGGTCAGGGAACCAGTCTAGCTGGCTCGTACCCGTTCATAGGTTTGTAATCGATTGCAAACAAGTGCAATGGTCAATTGGGTCCAGTATTTGAAAAAAAAGCCAGTTGTTTCCAACGCTGATCGGCCGATCAGCGTTGGAAATTGATACAAAAATACCACTTTTCTTGAAAATGACAGTATACCAGGTGCCATAATTTTACAGGATGCTTTAGACTGTCATTTACC